TCAGAAAGATAACTGAACTGGGGTTTCCGTGCTAAATTTAGAGAGAGAGAAACACACAGACAGAGAGATGCCGACAGACGCAGAGAGAGACAGACAGACACGAACAGAGGCGGACAGAGAGGCAGGCAGAGGGGTAGACAGAGGGGGGGTCAGGGGGGACAGAGGGGCGGTCAGGGGGCGGACAGAGGGGCGGACAGAGGGGCGGACAGACAGGGGCGGACAGAGAGGGGCGAACAGACAGGGATGGACAGACAGGGATGGACAGACAGGGATGGACAGAGAGGGGCAGACAGATATGGATAGACACACAGGACAGCCAGGGGCAGAGACAATGACAGACAGGTAGAGACAGATAGACAGGGACAGAGACAGTGACGGACAGGGGCAGAGACAGTGACAAACAGGGACAGGGACAGTAACTGACAGACAGGGACAGACACAGTGACAGACAGACAGGGACAGAGACAGTGACTAGCAGACAGACAGGGATAGAGACAGACAGACAGACAGGGACAGCGCAAATGATCTTTCAAGAGAATTCCTACTATACTTCGATTTTTTAAAGTGTTCTGTCAAGATCACGCTTGAAACAGGGAGAGGGCAGACTCTGTTAGGGAGCTGGAACGTGTACCTCCTTAGTGGAAAGACGTTGCAGCTCCCTAATAGAGTATTCCTTCCCCCTCCCTTTTCGTGCGTGTACTTGATAGGCCACTTAAAAAAATCGAAGTATAAGTGTCTGGTACTTCAGAATAATAAACATTTACTGGGCATAAATCATGCTAATAACATGCTATTCAGGTTTAAAATTCCACAAACAAAACAGAGCAGGGCAATCAATACGATGCTTCAAACGCTAAACATAGTGGTGCCGCAATAGAACGAATAAATTATTTTCTTATTTTGTTGACTCGGACTAAGTTTTTCGGTTTTGCTCCACTCTCTGACCAGCTGCTACTATCAGTGCCTAAAATGTACCTTTCGCAGCGCCTACCGCTCTTCTGTGGGTAATCAGAAAACGGATCCCTCGACTCCCCCCCGCCTCCCAAACATCATGCTGATGCGGCTTTTGGGAATTATACAATATTACAAATATGTTTATTATTGAACTAAAATCTATGATGTTCCCTCCCCCCAAAAATGATCGGCTGGATCCGTCCCTGGTAGCAGGGAACCCCAAAACGTGTATTTCCGTTAAAATCTTGTCACCGATTTTCCATAATCTTACATAACTTTCTATGCACTGCTTGAAGATTACTCCACAAAGATCTGAACGTCATAAACTTGTGACTGAAACGTAGGCGCAAAATAGATAAGGAAGCCAAATCACCTCACGTAACATAAACTTTCAACAAAGATTCGTGTCCTCTAGTACAAACAAATAACTAAACAATTCCCAAGCAAGCGCGGTGGCGTACTAACGAATCCACATGGATAGAAGATTGAAACCACATATTACTACGATAATGAAAGGATAAAAAATTAAAAAAATATTACCGGCACACCTTCCAAGCACTCTCTGAAAAATAAAATTAATATTAACAAAACAATATGTGAAACCATCGAATAGAACTTTGGGGCTCAGGAAGCGTCTCAAACTTAAAAATTCTCGGAAGATTTGAACCTAAACTTCTCAGATTAGCAATCATTGCACCGTGTCCCAAAGAAACTTAATAGATTTAAGCAACTATATTAATTTAATAATTTTAGTTACTTTGTAAGAAGGGCCACCAGTGAGTGAATTCTTCACTTATGTTTCTATGTAAAATATACAATTTGCCCTATGATATCTACATGAACAAATTACAATTAATCAGAATATAGAGAAATAAGGTTAATATCGAATGTAAATAATTAAAAAATTGATACGTGAATAGTAATAATAATAATAATAATAATAATAATAATAATAATAATAATAATAACTGATAAAAATAAAATAATTATGAAAAAATTGTATGAATTGAATATTTGAATTTTCGAAATTTTAAAGGTTTTAATGAAAGTCGTATGAGTTAGAGTAAGAATATTAGGAAAAATTTTGCAGATTGATAAAAACCTTGTTTACTTAATTTTTAAAAGTTGTCAATATTTCACTCAAAACTTCACAAAAATACTCATATTTTGAAAGGGTTTTATACGACACTATTTAAAGATCTAAGTTTGAAGAAGAGATTTCATTTAAAAAGTCAGCTTCTTCAATTTGTAGGTGGACACCGAAAAAATTTTTAATTTTTCCACTTTTCTAAAATTCAGAGATGTTAACCAAAATTAAACATGCTTCTCTTTCTTAAGAGTACGTTCCTCTACCCAAGGTAAAAATTTAAAAAATATATTCAGAGCCATTTTTTAGCAAAACTTGAAAATGTCGGTGATGCTTCTTATAAAGTACCCCCTAAATAAATAAATCAGTTTCAAATTCAAGGTGCTACGGTATCAGCCATATTAATTCGAGGATATCAATTCCAGTATTATCAAATTCTACCCACCGTTTAGTCGCTAGCGTTGTTCACAGATGGACAGACGGACGTTTTGCCGTAAACCAATTTTGCGATACCATAATACGCAAAACGTGGGTTCTGTCTACATAATGTATTGGACGAAGAATTTACTACATGTAGGAGCAAGAAGTATCCCCCTTGTCCGCATGAGGAATCCACAATTCGAGTTTTTCTGTCGAAAATCGTCACTTTTCACTGCAATATTTCAATACTTTCTCTTTACTGCGTAAAAACGTAGTAAACGTGAATGTAAAATCATTTGATTATATATTTTAAATGTAGTGTTCAAAATAGGTTTCTTCGCCAGAAAATGCAGATGGGAAACAGTACTTCATCATTCAGCTGAACCTCGCTCTGGAATCTCAAGATCTATCTGTATTAGAAGAGGTACCTTTCAAGACTGATCATCTAAGTAAAATGTGGATCTACGTGGTATTGAACCCACTGAGTAAAACATTTCTTTCACAACAAACGGGCTAGAATAGACTTGTATATTCTAACACGTTGTTCACAACGCATAAATACGAACTAACCACACCAACAAATGACATTCACATTATTAACAAACTTTTACACTTGTATGGCCAGAAAATATGTGGGAAATCCATAGAATAGTTTCACAGAATTCTTGGCATAACTACTAGATTCGGTAGATGCATGGACTTTACACATGATAAATTTCAATCTGTCCATCTTTAAAACGAGAAAAATACCGCTTCTTTTTTAACATCTGAGAGACTACTGATTATCTTGAAGATACCAGTTTACACAAATACCTCGGAAAATCCCAATTGAAAGGAATTTAACATACATATTTAAAAAAATAACTTGACAGAACTTCGAACAAGAAAAACAAAAGTATTATGAGAAATGAACTTTATAGTAGAAACAAGGTAGGAGACGTAAATATAATTGCAATTCCATTCCTTGAATACACATTTGGTCACATTAAATGGTCAACTACAGATTTGGAATATATCGAGAGTGATCAAAATGTATCTAACAAACGCCGCATCAGTGACACTACAGCAGCAATAGAGCGTATCTCACTCCCCACATCCTTGAGTGGGATAAAAAAAAATACAGAAAACAAGTCGGTAGTCTGAGGCAGTAATCCTATGAAAAATTGATATTTCTTTATATGTTCCGCATTTTTTTGTAAAGCTGATACTAATAAAAAGTAAAGCTGATACTACATGACATCTCTTATACGCCAGCTAGGCTCTATAATGCAAATCAGTAGGTGACCATAAATAAGAGTGCAAAGGCATTACACGGAACATATGCAAACCTCCTGGAAAGTGATAGATCAAGAACCAACAAATCTTTGGCTTAAGAAAATAAGAGTTTGAAGAAACGACCGAATTAAATAACTGATTTCACTAAATCAGACAATAGTCCAATGTAGATAATTAATCCTACAGCTGGACAAAAATAAATTCTTAAAAAGTTCACATAATTGATGTCATTATCCCACTTAACCCACACCGGCAATGAATGGGTCCTATAGTACAACAAATATAATGATATATAAAGACCTAGCTGAGGAACTGAAAAAAACTCTGAAATTAATCACTATTGAACCAATAATAATGTTTGCCATTGCAATAATTTCACAATCTTTAAAATCCCAACAGGAATTAGGTGCAGCAGGAACACTAGGATGCAGTAATACGAGATACTGGATATATGTAATGTGATGAACAAATTCCTGGGAGAACTGTAATGAGCAAATTACAAATACAGTTTTAATGTGGGTGTCGTTTTGTAGTTTTTATTCATGTTTTATTTGTGTATTCTTTGTTTTATTTTTCTTCCTAATATGCTTGCAAATGTAAATATTGTTGCAAAATATTTCTCAAATATTAAATAACCAATGTGTTTTTAAAGCTGACAGCAATAATAATGTTAATATTATTTGTTATTAATAATATTAATATTATTTCTTATGAAAAATGATAATAATAAATTATATATAAATATTGAATATTCTACAAAATAAATTACACCTACATTTCCAGTTTTTGCTTTATAATGCTTTGTTGTAACATTACCATATAAGACCCTAATAAATTGAGTATAAACAAAAGATCTTCAGCATTTCAAAAGAACCATCTCTGAAATAGTGTCAATGGCAGATTTGTGTGGTTGAAACCAATGTTTTAAATGATAGTGAAAACGTATTCTAAAGAAAAATAAGAAAACGCAAAAAAAAAACATTGTTTTATGAAAGAAGTATGACTTTTATCATTTTCAGATGCCTTATTCAGGTAATACGAAGGCTTCTCTTTAATAAAATTACCAATTCGTCTATAACCATATCTAATAAACTTTGTAGGTAGTTTCAACGTAAGTACACTTATGTTGTAATCTTACGATCGACAATAACTCCTCACTTTTCGAGCTCAATAGTCGTCATGATTTTTACATCAAAAAATTATTGAAAGTGTACGAAAATTTCTGGATGCGAGAATGAAAAATCTGTGCTATTAAAATTCTTACCTTATTTTCCAGCACTTTCTCAAAAGTGATCCAATTGGCACAAGCAAATTTCTTTTGATCACATTTCCAAACACCTTCTTCACGATTTGAAAATAAATTAAGCCAAAGCACACGACTACAGTGGTAATGATTAAAAATCCATGTCCACTGCACCATTGCCAATTACACTGTGGAACTGAAAAATGGAAGACAGAAGAGATGTAACAATTTCAAGATGAATCTTGGTTTGAAATTATGTTTTAGTAAAGTTTATTTAATGTTAACATTAAAATACATATAAAATTATGTTTACTTCCTCGCTTCTATTTCGTAAGAAGAGAAAGAATTGTAATCATGCGACGGAAAACGGCGAATTTTCGACAGAAAAACTCTTATTACTCCCCTGGAAATGAAAAGGTGAATAAATCTTGTTCCAGTAAATTTCTTCCTCTAACATGTTCTCTAGTCGGAATCTATGTTTTGAGTGTCCTTGATATTGAAAAATCAATTGATAGTAAAATGTCTGTCTCGCCTTCCGTCCGTCTGTCCTCAAGGCTAGCGCCTTTCAAAACCGTTCAGTCGATTTTCTCCCAAGTTGATACTCCTGGGTCAATTTAAATGAACACGAGGCTTTCTGATTTAAAACGGATATTTTGATTTTGTGGGGTACTTTACACAAACCCTCAGCAACATTTTCAGAAATTTCTCAAAATGGCTCAAAATGTTTTGATAAAGTATTTTCCTTGAATAGCATACAGGACGTTAAGAAAATGGTGCAGGTCTATTTTTTGTTAAAATCCCTGACTTTTTGAATTGACAAAGTTGAATTTTGTTCGGCGTCTTCCTGCAACTATAATATTGAAGATGGAGATTTTTTCTTAATAAAATGTTTTCTTTAAAAACCTTGAAATAAAATGATGTACAGTATTTCGAAAATATGATAGTTTTTCTATATGCAAAATCAAATCGACCAAAACAGACAAAATATAACTTGCCATTTTCCCTCTATCTTCATAATAATTTGTCATAAACGTTCTTAAAGTTATACTCTCAAAGTAATCGGGTATCCTGTGTGAGTTTGTCCATCCGTTTCTCATGTTAGACTTCTCGTTCACAATTCGGGGTACGTGGGTTCCTTCACGAGTATCGGTCTACAGGTGGGAAACGAAAATTTTCCCTGATCCTATGATCCTTTCAGAACATTCTGAGAGAAATCCCGAAAAATATTCTTGGGAGAGTTTGAAGAACCTAAAAGGCGTTTTGGGAAGTTTTAAGTCACCTACAGAGGTTATTAGTGGCTCATTCGTTTTCTATCGGCAAGCACTATTTCAAAAACAATACCCTCGCAATAGTTTTAGCCGGATCCTTCTTCAATATTCAGAGACAATTCACGAAAAAGTTTGCTTTTGGGGATTTCCAAGATCTCAACATTTGTTTAAATCTGTGAATTACTGTAGCGACTTTTCGGCATGAAGTATTATAACTTGATTCATCACACTGACAATAATACAACCATATTTTGTAATGAACAAGGATTTTCGAAGCTATTTCTATGGGAACTTTTCTTGTGCAATTTTATGCGCGAGAAAGAACGAACAAGACAATTACATTAATATTTATTATTAATTGTGCAATTAAATTTTTTTTTTATTATGTACTTATACAGCCCAAATATGTTTTTCTATTCCTGTTGAATAATTTTCTTATCAGATGGTTGGAACTCGTCGCATTATGATAGTCATTTTGATGCAGCTTCATTATAGTACAGGCGTTTGACCACTCACCACATACAGATAAGTTTATAATCCAAGCATTGAGAGGTAATTAATCATTGATCATCGTTCTAGTAAATATTGAACTGTATTAAGACGACCCGCGTGCTGGTACCGGTAAACCGAGTCGACAGAGCAAAAATGCTAAACTGTTGAAAGGGTATAAATAAGACATGAAATTACACCACGACAAAGTACGAGAAAGCATAAATGGTAAATAGATTTAACTTCTTATAATCAACATTTTTCATACCAATCCTGGTAGCCGAAATCGCTAAGGCTGTAGTGCCGTGGCGATCTCGGATCGAAGGATCGCGGGTTCGAATCCCGCCTCATACATGAATATATATGTGATCGTCCTTTACATCTCATCATCATTCTATCACTTCATTAAAGAAGTATTAATAATTCCCTGCTCAAGCAGGAGGCCTTTGTCCTTAATGGGATGTGCAGTTGGCTAATAAAAAGAGGGAAAAAAAGCTGTCTTCATAGAAAATGTATTGTATGAAATTCAATGTAGTGTGTGTTCATTATCGTTTCATAGCATATTACTAATATGAAAAGTCCCACCGGAGGCCCCATGTTAAGTTAGTAAGCTAATATGAGATGAAATGATCTGCATATCGTGAAGAAGTACATTAGAGAAAGAGCAAGTATTTTTAGTAGCACTTGCGTATTACATTTACATTTTTTATTTCCGATTTCACCAACAACAAAATTTCGTGGGGGGGAGGGGATATCATTAACGTACGTTTTATCTCGTTATGTCAAATGTTTAAATTTATTCTTTGCTTGTAACACAATTCACAAGCACGGTGTGCAAGCATCAATTAATTGGACGTCGAAAAAATTCCGTTAATCATTATTGGTCTTACATTTTCGTCGGTAAAATCTAAATGTTAAGCCAGTAGTAGAAATGTAGCAGATTGATACTCGAAAATATTCACAAGTAGGGAAGCAAAGTGAATCTTTTTCTGGCTTATATTGTAGAATTTACTCGATACGGTTTTCCCTTTCTTATTGTTGCCTATGTTCCTGGTAATTTGACCACGTAGAGTATCTTTTTTACGGTGGTAGCGTTCCCCGGGGAACAGTGGCTTGCGCTGGCTAAGCGTAACGCTTCCTCGCAGGCATGGGAAGCGTCCCGGCAGCTCTTTCCGTGTCCTTGACTCCGCTAAACATTAAGAGACCGAAATTACACTACGCCTTCGGAAACTTCTCATTTTTATACTTTGCTCCTTAACCTACGATATAATTTTCCCATAATGATGTGCTTATTTGCCTCTGTGGGTCTCGGTTTGGAAGGTAATAAACCGTTTACCTTCCAAACCGAAAGTTCTTCTGACACATCCCATTATCAAAAGATAATGTTTGTTAGTCAAACTGTAATTTACAAAAATTTATACTTTACATTCAAAATTCTCGTTTGCACACAGGAATATTTTCCTAAGCAAAAGTAATGACTTCTTAAAAACATTAATAAATCACTTGTGAAAACAAAATAAAACTAGTGGTGCTACAACAGTGCATGTAATGTGCATAATGTGTAACGACTGCACAGTATTTATAATAGTACTTGAACCTGCAATAGGGTATCCAAACAGCATTTTTCCCACGTTGGGAATCGAACACAGTTTCTTAGATTTAGCATTCCATTCACGTTACCCCTACAACACAAGTAACATAGGTAAACACAAACTTCCCGGCGCATTAAAACAAAGGTGAACATTTGCATTCGCAGTTTTTCAGAAATTCAAAGATTTACATTGACATTGTTGATTCTAGGAACATATCTTATTAATCCATTGCTTCCAAAGCATTGAGATACTTAATTTATTTAATAAATTTCAATTAAATATGGATCATACGTCGCCAAAGATTTTCTAAAAATATTTGATACTTAATACTAGAGGGAACGTTAAGAATTCGCAACGTAGGGAGTTTTCAGGAAAGAAAGGGTACAGACAGCTTTTTAAGAAAATGTTGACAGTTTTTCACCACGTGTCCACGATTTTTTTTGAAATGCAAACAGAATACAAAATTAAATATAAAGAGATGCAAAATGCAAATGGAATTTAAAAATATTTGACGTTAAGTTACATTAAAAAAATTATCCGACAGTTACGAATTTTGTGTTCTCAGAATGCATTGTTAACGTCACTAATTAGTTAATATTCTACACTTTTTTGTGTCTCTCAATCTCTTCTTGTCATAGTGCCCTAAATAGCAATTTCGGTTTCCAGTATCCATATTTTTATTATTAGATTTCCTAGCATCTCTAGAAAGACAGTACTATTCAGGAATCGCTAACAATCCAATTCGAAGTATTTCTTGTTGGTGACTTTAAATATTTCACGATGATCAGACCCTCTAACATCTCATTCTCTAACTAATCAAAATCTCATTTTTCTTCTCCATCATGTACAACTACATCATCATACACAACGTTTGTTTTGAAACTTTTTTTTGTTCGAAGTAAAACAGTCTGATACCATTTTCCTTCACTTGCCACAATTATATTTTCATAGAAATCCATTACTGGTAAACGACAAAAAATAATCTCGAACATACAGAAATTTGCCAAGGTACAAGTGACATCCTGATTATCTTTAACAATGTCTATGAAATTGCAAATTACTCTATCTAAGGCCAGACATTCGTACCTCCATTGATTCTCCATTATGATCATGATTTCAAAATGGATTTTTTAAAACTCATGTTTTGTCCCCGTCGATGTGCAGCACGATATGAAGCCAAATCTCAACGGTCTCACTTGATTTGTTACGTGTCGCCCAAAGTAAGAAACTACGTGCTTATCAGTACTGATATATTCTGGCTAAATACGACGGATTACTAACTTCTTTTGTTCCCTTCAGCAAACAATAGGCTCATTTTTGCAAATTTGTATTCTTTATCTAAAGTGTTATTGACTGAAGTATGTAGATATCTTTTTGTTTCTTCAAAGCTGTTTCGAGAATTTTTTGAGCAATTTCAATCTTCGGTACACCGTGCAAACTACTTCACATACGAAGGCAGAACTGTGCTATTGTTGCGTGCCGAGAAAAATTGAGATTAAGTTCTTCAACATATCCGTCAACGGAACAGTCCAACGATAATACAATTTTCCTAATAAGATATTTCTTTTGAAATTCTAAGCCACTGTAAACTGTTCGTCGTCGCGCCGTAACAGAATTCAACCGTTCCCAAATCTGTCGGGAAACTCCCAACGTAGCGAAAAGGCAACACAATATTTATTTTATTGTAGTTTTTTAAGAATCACAGACTACTTATCCATTAACAGCGTTATTTGAACATACACTAGAACATCGCTAATCCGAACCCCGCAAATCCGAATTTTGGATAATATCAACAAAATTCGGGATGTAGGAATAAATAAATAAATAAATAAATAAATAAATAAATAAATAAATAAATAAATAAATAAATAAATAAAACTCACAGGAGAAAACAAACTCAATATTGTATCTGACATTAATGTAGTAAATATAACATTTTGTTTGAAGAAACCACAATGCAATTTGATTGACTTCGGACCTTACTGTCTGACCATCTCACTAGACCCATCATCTCCAAATAAAAGCAAATACAATGTAGCTTTTTTCAGACCGCTGACACGAAGCGTAATGTCCATTCGATGGCGTTCAAGGTGTGAAATACTACTTATAACCATCACTGAGAGTACCAATACGCTCGACTATCACTATCAGAAACTTATTTCGCTAATGTTCTTATTATAAACAAAGCTTATTGGGTAAATAAGAAGAGCGCCGAACGCTGTTCGAAAAATGTGCAACATTGACAAATAACATGTTTAAGATATCAAAAAATATTGAAAACCAGTTCTCTGACGACAAATCCACTGAAGATATATAGATATTATTAATTTTGAAACAAAATTGCAATTTTTGTGAAATGTGTGTGTAGTTTCGAGAACTTCAGCCCCCTACCCCCTCAAGAGCGTTTAACCGGGTACCAAGTGTCATTAGAAGTTACCATTAGAAGCGTTACGAGGTCAAGCATATAACCACACATTATCGCAGCTTCAACGAAGTAATTTTCTCTGTGACAAACGGGGAAGAGGAGGATACCCTGCACCTCTGGGTCATGAGAATTTTTGTCTGTGTGAGTCTAGCTAATTGACTGATGACGCCATGAAATATAAAATTTACAATAAAAATATAAATAATATAAATAATAGTCATAGTCCCTTAGGGCCAACAACCCTGGGTGTAAAATTGGATTCAAATGCCGATCCCCCCATAAAATTCACGTGCACCTACCCTCGATAAATATGACTTGAGCCCCGGTGGGTTGCACGTTCGTGTGGTCCCGAAATGACCAATTCGCGACCCCTGTAGATATTACAATTCATGACTTCATCAGGCAATTAGCTAGACTCACCCAGACATATCCCCCCCCCCGGCATAGTTTTGCCGATAAACACTGTCATTTTCAGCGAAACAAGTTTAAAACCTTCCAAAGGATTGAGGTAAAAATTGGACTTCAGCCTTCCAAACCATTATCCCTGACTACGTGCCTGATTCCTATTGCTTCTTACACTTTTTTGCGAATTACGCAGTAGCATTGTTATAACAACGTTAGAGTTCAAAACAGTTTCAAATCATAATTAATGTATGCATGTTCTTAGCGCGACAGCCCGTGAACGGGCTCAGGCCTACCGGCATAATTAATGTACAAATGTAAAATAAATAATAATTAAGTAATACAATCTATGTAAATAAAATTAGTGTTCTTGTCTGTAATTGTCCGGGGTAATATCTGGAACGATTGAATATTTCGGTGCTTTTTTCTCAGAAAGATAGAGAATTTTGTTGTGCATAACGTACGCTACTTTTCTTCGAATAATCACATTTTTTATATAAAGATTTGTTTGTACAAGTTTTCATACAAATCTACAGTTTTATTCTAATCTTAATGAAACTACATACCTGTCCCTTCAAAATAAGAGAAAACTTAATGTTTGTATGACATTTTGTAAAAAGTACTCCTGTCCTCCTTTACTCTCCTTTAGAGGAAAATTTAAGTGTGCACTCTTTACGTTTTTTGCACATAGTATCTCGATAAAAGTGGGTAAATCCACCAAATATAATTAAACGCTCTCGGCGGCACCTAAAATTTCGTAATAAATGCATTTTGATTCATTCGAATACAGCAATGAACTTCAGAGTAATTGAAAATTGTTACTGGACGTGTTCCGGAAGTATGCAACAATGTATGTTTTCAGCTCCCCTTAGCAACGAGTGTAGCAACAATGATCATAACAAACAAGGCAAGGTGGAAATGGCCAGGGCGGAACAATCGAGGCAGGATGATTATGATTAATAAATACCCGGGCCACGCAGGTTTCTTCAGCTGGTGTAAAATAACAAATATAAGACAGGTCACATGATCTTACTGATGCGGATGTATCTCCTACGATACCGACAAGAATTCTAAGCGAGAAAAGTTGTCTGGTTTGAAATATAGTACGAAAGGTGATGCTCTCGCGATGTGTTTGTTAGATGATGACCTTCAAATGTGCCTCGGGGCGATTTAACTCCGGGATACAACAGCGAATAACCCAAGACAAGCTTGCACAAAGAAGCGAGATTTACTGTTGAAAATGTTGCAAAGCCTGGCGGTCTGCTGGCCATTCCTTCCTACTATGACACAACTTCTAATAGACCTGTATATTATGCATAGGTAGGCGGAGCCTAAAATAAGCAACTATATTTCTGGATCTCTTCTCTTATTTTTTTTAGTATATATGACAAATTTTCCTAGTAAATAAATAACGAATCCAAGGTGAATGTGATTGTAAATTTAATTATGTAATTAACAAACCCCATTTTTTTATGTTGAACAATTTTCAGGTTTCGCAGATGTCTTGGAAAGCCTCTACCCCAAATGTTTAACAATTCCCCAAATTGTGATGTTAAAGAAGCGATATTAATGGATTGAATATACATACAGAAATAAAATGTTTTATTAAATAAGACTATGATATCCTTTTTAAAATATTCAGAGGCGCCACGGACTCCTGGTCTACTCTGTGCGCACGCCTATAACATTACGTGAGGTGAATGGCATCAATAGTATGGATGTTCGTTATTGAGGAATGGTGTATTTAGTTATGAATCCAACATACGTAATATCAAATTGATAGCATTAATTGGAATTTAATGAAGTATACATTGCGTAAACGTTTTTTTGGCAACACCTTACGCATACCTTATAATATATTTTAAATAAAACATTTTAGTATCCTTCTATTAATTTGTATAAGAATGTTATAAGTTAAAATTAGGCAATCCCTAGTGGAATTTGTACCATCAAGACTATAACAGTTTTGTTATTTTTAGTGGAATTTCGTATGTTTCCTCAAAAATATTATATGGTTCCAAAGGGTACTATACTCAAATCGGAAGCAAAATTTGCGATTATCCTAGTGGATCCTCAATTTGATACCAATTTATTCAACAACTTTACATTAGAATTCTACGTACATTTATAATTCCTATTTGGAAACATATAGTTTTGAAAAATCTTACCTTCATTACAATCGTATGTTATTTTGTAATGAACTGCTCCAATAAAATAAGCCAAGAAGAGAACAGCAATCGATAACACCACGAAGACAGATATTTTCTTCTTGTGGGCTTCGTAAGCGCGATCAAACGCATCCCAAAATTTTTGTATTGATCTTGTTACAATATCTGACTTCTGTTCTTTTTTGGAAAATCCATCACTCTGAAAGATAATTTTTTCAAACATGAGCATTTTTATGAACTACAGAATAAAACATGTTTCTTACACAAAATGCATAATATTTATTTATGTACTCGTATCGAAGGCGATTTGTAGATGTTCTTGCCCCGAGGGCGATTTTCGAACATGAGGGTCTCTGGCCCGGAAAGAGTACAAAGTACAAAGTCGAGGTTCGAATAGCTGTGGTTAGAAACAGAGAGTTTCGAGTAAGTTTCAGTTATAGGGGTTCAAGTTAGAGGGATTTGAATTTGATGTTCGTGATAAAGATATTCGAGTTAGGGTGATTCGAGGCAGAGAGGTTCGATAAGTGGGTTTCGAGTTTTATTTCTTATTTATGCCCTAGGCCATGCATTTCTAGTGATTTCGAATTTAAGATCAATAAATCTTTTTTTAATGATGAATAAGGACTTTTTTAGTGAAGAATTCGAATTTGAAATACGCCGTCTCAAGAAATGTCAGCTTCACAAAGAAAAATTGCACAAAAACTTACAATTTCGAACTTTTTCAGTTTATGACGACGAAACTCGTTGGGCGTTGAGCGCTTATTGTGGAGTATTCCTCCGTTATTTTATATATTCCGTACGTCGTTGTCAAGAGGACCGCCACGCAGCATCTCCTCCTACGCGCCTCCCATGCGCACAACTGCGTCACTACCCAGGGCCAAAATTAGGATGGAATTACGGAAGTAGTAGGGTTTAGAACGCTTCGCAGGGGTTGAACTAGCTCCTGTGAAGCAGGCAAACTCGTTTTGTCGCTACACATTTCATAAGTTTGTCCGGAATAGAACCGGGATCTCCTCATTGAAAGGCGAACTACTTCGCTTTGACCCACGAGCCACCATTTTTCGTTTATACCTTGAAAACTGGGAGTAATCAAAATTACCACCACACACAAAATTGAATAATAGAAAATACTCGAAAAAATTAGTATATTAAAAGAACTAAGAACGCGATGAAAACAGGTACTTTTTGGACCACTGGCAAAAACGGGATAAAAGCGCTCTCTAACCCTATTATCTTTCGGCAATGCTCTAGTTTCACTTCATCATGCTTGAAAGCAACTATGTGAATTAAATTCCATGGTGGTCGCAGAAGTTCGCAGGTGGTTGTGGTAATCCATAATGTGAGATAGGAAATAATAGTCCACAACAATCACAATTATAGTATTTATTGTTAGATACCCAAATATAACTTTGGGTATGTTACAATAAATATTATAACTTATTATTTCCTATCTCACATTATGTGAATTAATGCATTAAACGCATTTTTGAATAAAGAATGGAAGAATATTACGCATTACGTCAGCTGAAATGTTGAAGTTTATTGTAAAAGAAAGTTGTATAATGAAATATAAAAATATATCATATTATCTTGTAGCCCGTCAAATTTAACAAGGTTTGGGTCGAAGGTCACTTTGGTTATGGAATAAAATGTGACTAATCTTTGAATATAAAGTAAAAAGTATTTTCTTACGAATTATAGGACAATAATTCGTTTCTTTGTATTTCTCTAAATCATTCTGAACAATCATTAAACATCAGAACATTGTTATTGGTTTGAAATACTCGGCGACTTGGAGATTTATCTATTGACCAACTCCTACATGAGCTGAGATTGTTATGAATTTTGTATTTGGCACCCTAAGGCTTCCGGCGTTGCCGGTAAATTTTGACTCCCATTCTTACGCCAGGGAACGCCTTAATTGCTTTCTTAGAAATATTGTTTCATTACTTCTGGCGTTGCCGGCTAAGTGAACACATAGAATCTGATTAGAACGAGAAATGCTGGAGGATATAATTTTGCCGGGCATTTACCCAGGGTCCTATGCGTAAAGTAAGTACATAACCACTCTGGATTGTCTACCTTTCGAAAATACACGTACATGAGCCTGAGTCGAACCCGAGCTCTGGTGGTTAAAGGGTCAGAACAAGTAATCTAGCCACTCCCTACTGATGACAATAAAACATTGTGCATCTATTTGTTAATTGTAGTAATTGTATAACTTACCTTAAAAATTACAGTTTGTACCAACTTATTTCACTTCGCCACTAATTCTCTACTATGAAGCCCGATATAAGTTCTTAGAAAGAGAATAAACCTCAACATTTGAGCTCGCGTAATACGTCATATTTTTTCTTTCAAATTCCAGCAATCGCTTGGAAGATTTAGATACATTGAGGTTCGTTTTTTGTGTGTTTACTTCTCTGCTGATGGTGGTCATGGAATGTGGTTTATGTATTCTTTAATGAAGGCGTAAGAACTTTATTTTATTTTGTTTCCGCACATGGTGTAAGAGAGTGCAAGTTGTGCTTGGGGCTCTGCATATCCCGCGTGGGCATCTGTGTAACCTTTTACTTCTTTGTTATGACGAAGTTCATCGCTGAGCTGACGCTCGGTATCTCTGCGCTCTCCTTACACACCGATTCGTCTGTCTCACGGAATGGGGGTGGCGATGAACAATTTATTCCGAATTGTGTCACTGACGAGGCTTTCACAGCAGCAGTCGAAGTGTGCGAGGACTATGAACTGTGGTAGTAACCAATACTAATTTCAGAATTATATTTCTACTGCAGATGTTTTACGTAGAAACTGTATGTTTTAGAAAACATTGTCATTCGAATGAGGAAAAGCCTTTCTTCAATGAAGTGTTACATATTCTGGTAGGGTAGACACCACATTATCTGCCAACACAACCCAAGACAACGCACATTATGGTCTGTTGTTTGACGTGGATAAGTGACAAAATTTACCATGGAGAAATCAATGGTAAATATTGTATTGTTCAGAAGTATTGACTCCTTTTTTTCTCCCGCTTCCGTCATATTTGGTTCTCTAAGCCTGGGGTATACAAACACCCCTAGCTTGTAAATGTGTCTCTACAGGTTTCGCAAGTAACGTAGTGTTCATCGTTTAGTAATGCAAATAATTCCCTTCATAATGGCCATTTCCAATCATGAGGTAGTGACTTCGAGCGCCGCCGCGAGATAAGTCGAAAGAGGGCGATTCTTCCGTTTAGGTCAGAAGGCCAAACGGACCCCGTTTTTCCGCAAGCTCTAGCACTTGAAACGATTGTCGCAAAATTAAAGTTAAAATGTACATTTTGTACAGAATTGTATCTACTTTCATTTTTTATGTAATGATAATTTCGATAAAGAGCACAGTCTTCGAGATAAAAGCAAAACACTGGAAAATGTGCGAAATATTTAGGGATTTTTGCGATTTTCCTTGTGAAGCCATTTATCGGCGGTAAACCTTAAATTCGAATTCAGCGCCCCAAGGAAACATAACGATGAGAAAAAACTTCCAGATTTTTGTTTCATGAGACAGGTCCTTTGGAGCACTAGATGACTGGACTAAGAGTATTAAATATACTTAAGTGTTTCCTTTGAGATCCATAAACACAGAGAAATGAACTAGTAAACCATAGGAATAATTACATTACCTTTGGCATTTTTTCATCTTCACCATCCCCTACGAATCCAGGGTTGTCGAGAGCAAGTTCTTCCTGTAAAGAAAGGTAAATATGGCAATTATTCATCTCTTCATTATTATGATTCCAGTATCAATTTTTAATATTGGATGGATCAGTGATGTAACGGTACGATCTTTTATAACGATGAGATGAATGTTAGCATATGGTGGAATGATAGGCAGAGAAACAGGGAGACCCCCCTAGAAAAGTCAGAAAACCTTCCACGATCCCGTTTGTTCACCACTTGAATGGACCGGGTGATGAATCCCGTGACCCAGAGGTGGAAAGCTTTCCCCTGACCGCCACGTCACGGGCATTATATATTTTTGTTAAATAATAAACATATTTGTTATTGTATTGTATATTTTTATGGTGTATACGATACTATAAACGCTCGCGGGTAGCTCATTGGTCAATGTGCTCGCTGTCCATGACGCGACTCCCGGTTTGATTCCAGGTCGGCAAGATTATAGCGTGCGTTTTCCTCTGTGGCGTCGTCGGGTGCGAGTAACACACAGACACGGAGTTGATTATACAGTTTTATTTACAATTTTGATTACACAATACACATACTCCTCGGAAACGCGCTACACTCCCAGCACTGTACATCTCTGAGGCATCCCGCCCCAGCCTGACGCAGACCCCAGCGGCTTGGCGCCGCTCCTGGCCTTTTGTCCCGTGGCAACCGCCACACCTCGCTGCCGAAGCTCGCGATAACCCCTGGCGGGTGAAATGTGCCTTCCGCACCGCGATTCGGTTCAAACTCGAATGCCCACGGCTGGTTGCTCTCCAGCCGCCTCGCGAGGGGTCACGTGACAGACCTCACATGCCGGCGGCGTCTTCTCATCCCGAAACGTGGGCCTGTTTGCAATTTTGGAGTCCAGCTGCACCGCGGCTGGACTCACCCATCAATTCCTTCTGTGCCAGTTGACACCCACGTTCCGAGTCACGCCCACCCGGGCCCTTGAGGAGGGGCCCACCTCTGGTGGCCTTCCGCTTGCCGCCAAAGGACCGCCCCCGCCCCCTCGCTGGCCTTCCGACATGAGTTGTCCATCTGGCCCTTCGGCACGACGTTACACCTCGCAACATCCCAGTATAAATTGCTGTGTGACGATGAGAAAACTCAATTCTCAGGTTGAGAAGACCAGAATACGGCGTAGGGATGCCTACGTGCAAACCACGCGTACGACACGTACAAGTCCTCACAGATGAATCGCAATCTGATTCCTCTTGCGTATCAAATTATTGCCGTCTGAATTGCATTGTAAAAAGGCGCTTCGTATGAAGGAGCAGGCGGGTATTAGATGAGCAAATATTTACCCAAGCTCTTTGATTAACAACCGCTTATCGGTGTACTCTAATTGAAGCATTCGGATGAACATTTAATTAAGGGATGGTGTTTGATACTGTAGTTCGAAATTAATTGTAAAGATAGCAGGACTGGTGACCTTTGAAACGTAATCCAGTTTAGCATCATAGTATGCCATGTCTTACTGCTTTCACGAAAG